CTGGCCTTCCTCCACGAGGTTCGGGAACGGCAGCCAAGCAGACGTGAACTGCAGCAGTTCTTCGCTGGCAGAATCTGGGACCAATCAGAAGCCACCGCCAGAGCGAAGGCATGGGAAGACCAGACCGAAAAGAGCTTCACCTTCCTGACGGTGACCAACAAAGCCGCAGCCAGCCTCAATCGGGCCCGACTTGCCCTGGACTTTCCTAGAGAAGCGGAACTCCTCGCCAACGACGCCGGGATCCCCGCAGAGAACGGCAATGTGCTCATCAGTTCCGGAATGCGCATCCGACTCACCTACAATGTAAACAAACAAGAGGGCTTCGTCAATGGAAACTCGGGGATCGTACGATTGCCACTCCGAAAAGATGTCTTCGTGATGGAAACCACACAAAAACAATCAGTTTTGGTCTACCCCATCACGCTCCGCGGACGCAAGTTCTTGCCTGTCGCTTACGGCTACGCCACCACCATGCGGCGAGCCCAGGGCGCTACGCTTGAAGGAGTGGGACTGTGGTTCGACCGACGCTTGCCCGACAGAGGGTATGCATATGTCGGAGTGTCCCGTGCAAAGCTCCGGGACTCTGTCTTCCACGTAGGAAAATTGCGGCAGACAGACTGGCTGCCAGTCGGAGAACCGACAGAAGACGAGCATACTCGCTTGTCTATTTTCAGCGAGTCTTCTAACAATGAAGAAGAAGAGTCGTCGGAACTGGAATCGCAGAGTCTTGAACCTTCCTCCGGCGATTTCGACCGATCCCCTGATGAGTGATGCAACAGTCATCGGACACAAATTCGTCTTTTGCGACATCTGGCATCATCGTAATATAGACATTAATAGATAATCACCATTATGAGAATGTCAGCTAAGTCAGTTTTTGCATTGCTTGGACACTGTGCGCGCAGCTTCAAAAATATCTGTTGGCCGGCGGGCAGTATCTTTGTGAGTTGTTCGTCTCATGATTGTCTGATACCCGTGAACTTCCTACCAGGCTTGGTCCGACGTGAAGAAAGCAAGGTCCGTGCCTTATGTCACTTTGTACCGACTGATGTCCGCAAGCCTCCAGCTTTTTTTTCGCGTCCCAGGCCACTGGTGCGTACTTACGACTCTGGGCTTGGCTTGGGCATGAATCAAGACGAACAGGATGTCTCTGCGATGTTTCGAATGTACGGTTGGGTTTTGTCGACTGCGGTCAATGCGGCCGGTGATTAGCGGAGGTTATGTCTCAGCAGGGAAGCAGTCATTATAAGCGTCATGTGTGCTACCAAAACGATGGCGTTCCAACATCACATCAACTAGTGTTGGAAGGCAGCAAACAACCTTTGGTCCTATAGCGAAGAGTCTGTGAAACGGAAACGGATGACTCCAGAGAAAGCCGCTAAAACGTTAGCGTCTTAAAGTCTTTCAATTTTGGATGAAGACCGGTGATGACGATGTCGGAAAAATGATAGCGTCTCGCGCATAACAAGCATAGTGCGCGAATTTAACACTGGTGTTTTAGCGAAGAGTCTGTGAAACGGAAACAGATTGGAAACAGACCAAAGCGATAGAACGGAGTCGTTTGATTTAATGATGTAATTTGGGAACGGTCGCTGTGATGTAAAGAAGAAACTTTTTATTTTCTTATGTTATGGGATTCTAAGGGTGGGTGGGTGTTATGTCTAAACCGTGAATACAACTGATCCTTAAAACTGCTCGATCCGGAGCTGCTGAACTCTAAACCCTAAACCCTAAACCTTAGGGTTTAGGGTTTAGGGGTTTAGGGTTTAAGGTTTAGGGTTTTTGGGTTTTGGGTTTTGGGTTTAGGGTTTAGGGTTCAGCAGCTCCGGATCGAGCAGTTTTAAGGTTAAGTTAGTTCACGGTGTCGACATAACACCCACCCACCCCTGAGTC